ACTCTGCCTCGCAGGCATGGACTTCCTGCCTTCATCACCATGAGAACTAAATTTCTGTTGTTTATGAGCCACCCGATCCATGGTACTTGTTATAGCAGCCCCAACTGTCCAAGACAGGTTATTTTCAAGGAAACTAGGCATAATGAGCCCTGATGCATCATGGGGGCAGACACTGGAGGCCAACCATGGTGCCATCCGTCCCGAGGCTGCATTCTGAGGTGGGGGGTGGGGTGGGGTGCAGCATAGGGACCTTGTACTGGACCAGTAGGCGATTCTTTGGTTCTGGGTCTGGATTTAATTCTGGGATACTGTTCCCTTTGCTGCACTGAACAGAAGAGCTCAAGTGTCACTGGAGCCCTGACCCCCCGCTCAGCTGTAGTCCTGTTACAATAGAGCTGATGTTTATGTTTCCATTCTTTCTTCCAGTTTTTAGCAAAGAAGAGTAATTCAGGGGCATCAAACACTGTTTACATTTATCTGGGGATGCCAAGAGTGTTTATCTGTTGAGGTACGGCTTTGCCTTAACATATCAATCTTTAAAAAAGCTACAAGTTCTTGCTGGAGTTCTGTTCCTTCACTCTCCCAAAATGTTTGTCATCTCATACATGTCCCTAAGGGAAACGCTAACTTTTCACTCTTTATTGAAGGGAGGGCAGAGAGAAGAAAGCTTTTTTAAAAAATATCCATTTCAGGTGGAATGCATGCGAGTTGATACCTGATTAGGGGGGAGGGGGAGAGCCTCCAGTCATGAACCGAGGGGTGTCAGGAATTCTGTGCAAAATACAGTTGGAGCTGGCTGCCTGGGAAACAGGAAAAACCAGGACATGAGAGGGGCTCCTTGCAGGAGCAAATCCATCCTCACAGGTGCTAGGCGATCAGCTCTGCTTTTGAGTTTGTTTCTCTGATCCTGCTGTTGGCCTGAGGGGGGAATTATATGGAATGTCCCCAGAGAGAAGGGGCACAGCCACACAGGGAGACGAGCCCATCGGGTCTTATGTGGAGAAGAGGGAGGAGGGGCGTGTGGGCTGGTCTCCCCAGTGGCAGGCACAGACCCAGCACCCACAGGGAAGCCAGAGGCCTCTGCACCCTGCTGGACGCAGGGGATGCGTGACTGGTGTAAAGCCTCGGGTGGTGCAGGACTGGGTGCCTGGCTGTGTGTTGGAGTGTGGCTAAGCGTACGTGCTCCAGACATGTGCTCTAAGATAGTAAATGTGGCCCAGGCCTTCTCTTGGCAGAGAGGGTGCCTGGCACAGGGCAGCATCCCCATCAGTTTGCTAACCCTGGAGGCCACCCTTGTTGGGAGTTAGTGCCCTGCAGCTTAACTCCCAACAACATGGGTCCGGGAATGTCGGTCCCTCCCAAATCTGCTCACAGACATTCCATTATGGCCAAGGCCCATTGAGGAGCTGGTAGCATTTAAAATCGGGCGTAGCCCTGACTGATTTGGTTCAATGGATAGAGCGTTGGCCTGTGGACTGAAGGGTCCCAGGTTCGATTCTGGTCAAGGGCATGTACCTTGGTTGCGGGAACATCCCCAGTAGGGGGTGTGCAGGAAGCAGCTGATTGATGTTTCTCTCTCATCGATGTTTCTAACTCTCTATCCCTCTCCCTTCCTTTCTGTAAAAAATCAATAAAATAAAAAAGAAAAGAAAATGCATATACTTAAAAAAAATAAAATTGGGCATAGTTGAGGGAGCAATAAACCCTCATTCTGAACATTAATGCTATTACTCCCTTTCTGGAAAGCTGGAGATATTTCTTTTTAACATCTGCAGCCTCCCCATCATGTAGGTGCACGCACTTTCTTAGTGATCAGTTTCTCTTAGAATTTAATGCCAAGAGGTCGCTCACTTCAGAAGAGATACCCTCTTAGCATACAGAGAGACCTATGTGTCACATCTTTACCTCACGCTTGGAAAATTTGGAGTTCAATTGAATGCCCATGGCTGCAGCCTTTCACACTCAAGTTTCTGGCAGAATTTCCTGTCTCTCTTTTCATCCCCACAGGAAATTGCTTTCATAATTGACTTTGGGGGGATGGAGGCCGAAGTTTTCCTTGCCTAGAAGCGTTTGGATGGTGTTTGTATACACGGTCTCCCGTAATCCCTGCGGCAATTAACATCCTCCCATTACTGATCCAGAACCTGAGCCGCAGTTAAAGAAGCCTGAGGTCTCCCAGTCCTTGGTGACAAGGTCAGGGTTCCAGCTCAGCGGGGGGACCCCTCCCACCCAAAGGCTAGTGTTCTCTTCCCTCCCATGGGCGGCCCCCTGAATCCAAATCAGGTCCCCGTTTCCTGGTCCTAAAGGGCTAGCTAGCCGTTAATTACTTACACTTCACAGAGAGGTGGAAGTGGACTCTGGATAAATTGCAGGTGTGGCTGGGAACGTCGGGGGAAGGGCACAGGCGACAGAAGATGCAGAAGACCCTGCAAAAGGTCATGGGATTGCAGGCTCTGGCCATCTGGGGTGTGTGGTCTGCCCATGCATAGGCCAAGGAGGGTCTCCCCTCCCCTCAAGCTCCTCCCCCACCCTCCCACCCCCCTCACTGAGTTGTGGCATCCAAGGCTGGGAGGGGCCCTGCTCTGTCTGCCTGATGGGAACCAGAGACGATGTCGCAGCAGTTCGGCATTCATTCTGGAAGAAATCTTGAACACTCTTCCATTTGAGTCAGACTCGGCTGGTTTTTTAAAATAGGCTTATACCAACAGGCAACCTAAACAACATCAATCTTGAGGCGGCTAGAACAGTACAGGCCAAGGCAAGCCAGAGGAAGCAGGCACGGCGTGTGGTTCGGGTTGCAAATAGTACTTATAGCGCTCCTACTTCATTTCTACAGGCTTTTGCTGCTTACAAAACACTTCTCTCCTGTGTGAGTGCTTCACGACTTTAATCAACACTGTGTTGTTAAGAATTTTATTTTATATTTAAGGAAATTGAGGCTCAGGTTGCACCCCTAAGTGAGGGACAGAGCTGGAACTGGACTAAAATCTTTTGATGATTTTATTCTTCACGGTCTAGTTAATGGAGTATGTCTTGTCTGGGGTGGGAGGAGAGGGAGCCCAGCAGATAGGTTCCCTTTCCTGCAAGTTCAAGAGGTCTTCAGCTTGCTGGTTGTCAGCTGGAGGTGCAAGATTGGTTTCTCTGAGACGTGAGGCCGGCAGATCAGGCGTGGGCCCTTGGGTAGGTGTGGCCTCTCCCTATTGCACCTCTGAACACAGAGTATGTCCGGATTTCAACTGTGTGTGCACAGTTCTACCAGAGAGTTCAAGGTCATCCCTTGGTGCCTCTGAAGGGCTAATGAGCCCAAGGGCAGATAGAATGACCTGGTATGATTTGCTTCTTGACATTGGGTCTAAACACTGTTTGTAGAGATTATAAACGATTTGGGATTATACGCTGGTGTGAGTCCTCCCCATATTGAGTTGACCTGGGCCTTTCTATGCACCTGGGGGTGGGGGGGTGAGGTTGCAGAGGCCACGCCTCCCAGACACTGGCTTTTCTTGGTTCTTTCCTCTGAATTAAGTCCCCTTTCCTCTGTCTGTTGACTCTCTTATTGTAAAACCAAAAATTAATTTCTTGTTCTTGTAGCTGGTGGACAAGTCTAGTAGTATTTTTTTTCTTGCTTTCTTTTTTTCCATTTTGATGGGCCTAAAATTTGGAATCTGTCTTCCTATGTTTACACATATAATTTCTGATGATGATGACTTATGTCTGCAATGTTCCAAAACATCGAATGTGCCCAAGAACTAAATGCTATTAGTAGTCTGCCACGACGAAGTGACGGCATGAGCTAAAGTTGAACCTAAGAACTAAATATTATTGTCTGATAAATACCTAGAGGCATAGAAATATGTGACTTGGCACAAGCATGGGGGGTGTTTTAAGTGCTGTCTTTGTGTCCCCACCCTCCATTGCCTTGTAATCTCTCTTCCCACCTTACTCATGTCTGTACCATTTTGTTAATTTCATCCCCATTTTCTATTTCACATAGACCAGTGGTTCTCAACCTTCCTAATGCCGCGACCCTTTCATACAGTTCCTCATGTTGTGGTGACCCCCAACCATAAAATTATTTTCGTTGCTACTTCATCACTGGAATTTTGCTACTGCTATGAATTGTAATGTAAATATCTGATATGCAGGATGTATTTTCATTGTTACAAATTGAACATAATTAAAGCATAGTGATTAATCAGAAAAACAATATGTAATTATATATGTGTTTTCCGATGGTCTTAGGCGACCCCTGTGAAAGGGTTGTTCGACCCCCCCAAAGGGGTTGCGACCCACAGGTTGACGACCCACAGGTTGAGAACCGCTGACATAGACCTTTATAGTCTCCTCCTGGCTGCATTCCCACTTTGGCCAGTCCTTTCTCTGAAGTTGGTGTGTGGTTGGTGAGTTATTCTCACCCAGTTCATGTCCATGGAATTGTCCAGTTCACTGTCTACCAATTACCCAAGTGTCATTTTTGCTGAGAAAACAGAATACCACTAAGGAGGCTGGTTATTAAAGATGCTGAGCCAATCCCTAGCTGGTTTGGCTCAGTGGATAGAAAGTCCGCCTGTGGACTGAAGGGTTCTGGGTTCGATTTCGGTCAAGGGCATGTACCTCAGGTGCAGGTTCCTTCCTGGCCTGGGCCCTTGTCGGAGCTCATGCAGGAGGCAACCAACCAATGTGTTTCTCTCCCGTCGATATTTCTCTCTGTCTTTCCCTCTCTCTTCCACTCTCTCTAAAAATCAATGGAAAAATATCCTCGGGTGAGGATTAAAAAAAAAATAAAAATGCTGAGCCAAGTGTTCGGACGGAGAACCCAGCACTTCATCCTCAGCACCCTTATTCCCTTCTGTCACTCTACTTCCAAGAAAAAAATATTTCTTCAGAGGCACACAATCTCTGGAGAAAAGCAAGCGGTGGCCAGCTGTGAAAGCGAAATCCATCCCTTCAGCCCCCCAGCGAGTTGATGACCTCTAACACGCACGGCCTCTCTGTTGGCACAGGCGACAAGACTACCTTCCAGCTGCAGGTGCGGCAGGTGGAGGACTATCCCGTGGACTTGTACTACCTGATGGACCTCTCCCTGTCCATGAAGGACGACTTGGACAACATCCGGAACCTGGGCACCAAGCTCGCCGAGGAGATGAGGAAGCTCACCAGCAACTTCCGACTGGGGTTCGGGTCTTTTGTAGACAAAAGCATCTCTCCTTTCTCCTACACAGCGCCGAGGTACCAGACCAACCCATGCATCGGGTAAGTGCCCAGCTTCCCTTCTGTTGGGCGTTTAAGGGTGAGGGAATGAAGTAGTGGGAGACCTTAACCCAAAGAAAGGACTGAGGGGGACATACTGAGGAGGGGAACCTGGCTTCGGTGTTTAATTTGATTAACGATGACCCAGTTCTGTCCTCTCCCTCGGGGTGAAGAAATGAACTGTCACAACGTTGCATAAAGATGCAGTGATCATAGTTCACCTGTTTCCCTGCCTACCTGGCATGGGACTCCTTGTTACATGAATAGGTTTTAGAGAATGTTCTCAGGAAGTGACAGACCCAGGTGATCAGGGAGGGAGCAAACAGAACAGCCTAAACTTTCCCCTTGTTTGGAGTGACTGAGGTGCCTGGGATCAGTGAATTCAAAGTATATTTATTGTTTGTAAAAAACTACAACTTATGTTCGTACTTGTATTAGAAAATATTTGACACATTATTAGAGAACAGGCGTTTCTAACTGCTGCAAGAAACAAATCCAAAATATATAATGGCTCCAACCTGATGGAGGTTTATTCCTGCTCTCCTAAGTGGGTCTCCTGATCAGTGGGCACCTCTCCAAGCACGTCTCAGAGCCCAGACTCCACCATCTTCCTCATGTGGCTTCTGAGGTCATCTTGCCTGGAGATTGCTCATAGGAGGAGCTTACGGGCCAGGATGAGTGGCCTTTGCCTCTTCTGCTCCCACCTTCTAGTCTAGAGAACCGGGTTCTAGCAGGGAGGCTATAGACCGAGGAAGATAAGGAAGGGGGACTGGTGAGCAGGTCTCTGCCCTGAATATGTGTGGGGGGTAGAGGGGTCATAGCCCCAACTCCCCTAACAACCTCTGGGGGGCTGGTTTGTTTCTTTTCTAGTCTTTCAAGTATTCCTTTAAATGAAATGTGACTATAATGAGTGGTGACTCCTAACTTTTTCTTGCCTCATCTCCACATTCAACTTTATTTAGTCAGGCTTTGGGATGTCCCTGAATGAGGAATAGCTAAGATTTAAGTTCTTATCAAGTGTCAAACACCATACTAAATACGTCACATGGATTATTTTATTTAATCTCATAATGTTTTGAGGTCTTTAAGGTAGATGTGTGCCATATTTTTTTAAAAATATATTTTTATTGATTTCAGAGAGGAAGGGACAGGAGAGATAGAAACATCAATGATGAGAGAGAATCATTGATCGGCTGCCTCCTGCACGCCCCCTACTGGGGATCGAGCCCATAACCCGGGTTATGTGCCCTTGACCGGAATTGAACCTGGGACCTTTCACTCTGCAGGCTGACAGCTCTATCCACTGAGCCGAACCAGCTAGGGCGTGTGCCATATTTTAGAGATGAGAACATTGAGGCTTAGCGAGAATAAATAATTTACCCAAGATTACACAAATAGTAAGGGGTAGACTTATTTTCCCCCCATCCAAATCACACTACAGCATACAAACTTCACCTGCATGTAAGTAATCATACTCATTCCAAAACAGCCCCACCCTCTGATGCTTGCCTGAGGGTCGTGTTGGGCTCTGCTGCAGTAACAAACAACCCGCAGATCTCAGTGGCTCAACACAGTGAAAGTTTATCTCTTGCTGGTACACAATCTGATGAGGGTTGAACTGCTTCCCATGGCAGCTTTCCCTCCAGCGGTGACTCAGGGAGCCAGGCTCATTCCATTTGTGAGGTCATTTTTTTGATTCTTGATCTCCTTGGCTGCTGCCCTAGGAGCAGAGAGCTGTTCTAGCCCCCTGAGCCTTTCCAGCATCTCAGCTCGTCTTTGGCAGCCTCAGGGGCTCTGAGCTCTGGGTTGGGCTGGTGATTGGGGTGAGGTGGTATTTCTGCTGGTGGTGTATGCTCTTTTGAAGCCTTCCTGATTCTTCTGTCCAGGCTCCTGGAAGTTAACGTAGATCTTCCCCAGGGGTTGGGAACGGACACAGTGGTGGAAAAAAAACACTCAAGAGAAGAAGCTTTCAGTACAAATGAGATTGAGTTCCTTAACCAGGAAGCAGCACTAGGTGTCATCATTTGCTGGGTGTAGCTTCCTCCTGGCTGTAGGCATTATTATGTTGGTCCTGTCTCTGAGGCCCTTTGTAGCTGAGTCCCAGTACCAAATGTCCTATCATTGGCATTCTGCTGCTGACCAGGCTGCACCAGGATCTTAATCAAAACTTTTTTCAGTTCATCCGATAGTGATTCTATCTGCTTCTTTTCACCTCTGCCTTCTGATTGGGCCCTGTCTCCAGAGAGACAAGGTGTGTCTCCACTTTCATCCTTCTGTGGAGCATCCGCTAACTGTGAGCTGCTAGCTTGGAAGCTGGCAGAGGATGAAGGGCTGGCTCTGGGCACCCTGCATTTGAATTCAGGTTATTACACACGACTTATTCAGAGCCCCTTTTCTAAGCCCTAGAAGGCAGAGCCAATTGCAGACAGTAAAAGTCTTGACAGTGAGTACAAGGCACACTGAAAAGCTGCTTGTAAGACAGGAAATCTGGCGAAGAATTGGGAGTCTTGAAGGAAACGTCACATCTCAGTTATGCAAATCTATCTTTTGCAAACTGGGCAGCGCATCGGGGAGTCGCTGTTTGGCTCAGTGAGCAGGCTGAGATTTCTCTCCCTGGGCTTAGCAGTGGGCGTGTGCAGTGTCCTGGGAGATGGCCCACCGCTCCGAGGATGTATGTAATCTGTTCCCGGGCCTGATCCAGCCTATACATATGCTTTGTCTGCCTTTCTGAATTTTAATGGCACTGTGAACCAGTCACCAATATTTAGAAAGTAGATTTAACCACGAATAGCCAGGATTCCTAGGGTTTCTTGAAAAACTGGAAGGTCTAGTAAAGCTGGACTAATTCCCCTTACGGTTTGGCTGCCACAGTCCCCACCACTCCCTCTTGTCTCACAGCTGGTTTGTGTTAAAATGCCTGGCTGGTAGACATTGTGATTCTTGTCTGTTCTTTTTCTTCAGCAAGTGTGGAGGAAAAAAATCACAGCATTCTTCTCAAGATGCAATGGCATCTTCAGTTAGGTTTTTCTTCCCTGTGGTGGTGAGAGCAGCAGAAGCAGCCCCCAGGAAGTTTTGGGGGCTGGGGGGGAGTCAGAAGAGGTGACTTAGCCACCTGTGCAGGACATCTCAGAGAAGAGAGAGCCAGTTCTTCACAGGGCTTTCCTGAGGTTTGTTCCTTCTCCTTCTGCTCCAGATGTTTCTGCCAAAGGATCACAATCCTAGACTCATTCCTTCCCATCTTAGAGTGCACGAGAAAGGCCAGACTGAAGTGAGCAGTACCAGGGTTGCCACAGGAGAAAGGAAGATGTAGAGTAGCCCTGGCTGGGTGGCTCAGTTGGTTGGAGTGTCATCCCGTACACCAAAAGTGGTGGGTTCGGTCCCCTGTTGGGCACATATGGGAGGCAACCAATCAATGTTTCTCTCTCTCTTCCCCCCTCTCTCCCTTCGTCTCTCTCTAACATCAATTTAAAAACATATCCTCGGATGAGGATTAAAGAAAAGATGTAGAGTAATTTAATCATTAGATTGAAGAACCGTAGTTGCTATTCTGAGTCATATGAATAGTCTCACTGGGAAGAGTCACATGATAGTCACTGATTTGAAGGATTAATCCAATTGTTATTTCTGGTTCTGAACACTTTTCCTTTTACTGGAGGTATTGGGCTCTTCTTGAATTACATGTCATATCTCATCTATATGTGGAATCTAAAAAAGCCAAACTCGCCCTGGCCAGGTAGCTCAGTTGGTTAGAGTGATGTCCCGATATGCCAAGGTTGTGGGTTCAGTCTCTGATCAGGGCACATGCAAGAATCAACCAGCGAATGAATGCATCAATAAGTGGAACAACAGATTCTCTCTCTCTCTCTCCTCCCTCCCT